CATTCAGAAACTAAATTAAAACTATGGAAAAGTCTCAATATTTTTCTATTTTCTAGTTAAGTAATGAACAAGGAAAGTATATTATAGTCAATAAATACAAAAAGAACACAATCAAAATTCACTGCAAGTCTCAAACATTGCCTATATTTATGCAGCTAATACATTTGGGTTTGGAGCATTGAAGACATACAGGCTTCCTACATTGTACACACAAAAATTTGGTCATCCGATGGGTCGTTCGGTGACATAAAAAGCAGGCTTTCCTTTTTCCCAAAACCAAATTTTCAGCTTCTGTTGCTGGATGTTCACATTTGCCAAGGATGCGATTTATCGTAAGTCGCAAATCCCGAGGTAAACGGGGACTCTCTAGTCGCTTTTCCATATGCTCACGGACCAGGTTAGCGGCCAACATCTTAGCAAATACCGATTTTTCCTTCTGCAATTCATTTTTCTTATAGCACTGGTGTAAAATATACGAGTTCACTACCGATATATCCAATAGTCGGTAGAAAATAACCAGTGGCCACCTACGCGAACGGCGACTTGAGGTACTCTTCGAACATTTTTCATCAAGAGAATCAACTCCACCTTTATTAGCATTGTAATAGGCTATTATTTCCGGTTTCTGTGTTTCCGGATCACAATATTTTCTGTGGTGTATAGAAGATATGAGTATTGTGGCTTTATTTTTTTTGCTTACATGAGACACAATAGTGGAATCCTCTCGAAATCCGTACATTGTTGATCCGACTTCTCTTGATTTGTTGGGTAAAAATGCCGGAGGAATTTCTCTTTTATTTTTCTTCATTGTACCCACATAGGTCAGTTTGTTCTTCAATAGGACATCCATTAATTCTATTGACGTAAACCAGTTGTCCGCTGTAATGTTGCGATTAGTTCCAAACAGAGGCTTCGCGAGACGTAGAACTGATTGTGTGGGTTTGGAATACCGCTTGTGTTCCTCAGGAAGTTCGAAACTATCGGAATCTTTACCGCAGTATATATATGCGTTATAGAGGTAGCTATTCCTTGCATCCGTCAATGCCATAATTTTTATGCCATATTTGCAAGGTTTCGCAGGCATATACATTTTAAATCGACATCTTCCTCTGAAACTCACGAGCATTTCATCGACAGTGACAGACTGGCCAACTCCGTACACATCTTGACAGTTCTTTATAAAACTATTAAAAATGAAAGATATTGGTGCTACTGGATCTAGCTTCTTTCTTTCATTCCTGTCATCTGGGTTATCAAACCTTAAGGCTGACAGGAGAATACCAAATCGTTTTATGTTCATGACAGCTCTGAATATATCTCTTCCAGAGCCATCGGTGGCAAAAAGTGTTTCAATGTTCTCGTGGTTGCTGTTGAACACCGATGTATATACTAAGAGACCCAATAGTGCCTTTATTTCGACTAAATCAGTGTCGTTTAGGTTGCTGGTTTGATTTTTGTATCTCTTTCGCATTTCTTTGAGCTTGTGATTGGTCCACTTAACGATATGTACCAACATGTCGTCAGTGAACAAAAGCTGCCAAACCGTCAACGGAGCTGCTTCTTCTCCATATTCATGAGCTTTTCCTCTTAGAGTTGGTACTTTAATGACTATATTGTGCTTCCTTGTACGTGATGATGGTACAACTTCCGAAATATTCCACCTATGACGATTTTTTCCATAGAAATAATTCTGAGCTGGTAAATCCTCTTCATTTCCTTCGGCTCCGTCTTCTGATAACTCACTATCACTTGTATGATCTGATTCCATGTATTCGTCTTCTGAGGCACTGTCTATATCACTAAAGTCACTTCCTTCATCCTCAAACCATTTTAGAACGGTTTCTTCGAACTCCGGATCATCGTATCGTACACGTTTAGAAGGTCCCGCCATACTCGCAAACGCACCTATGCAACACAAATAGCAAACGGGAACGGAAACGTGCCGTCTGACAGACTGCAACAAACTAAAATTGGTCCATATTTTAAGGCACGTTTTGGCTAGACTCGTGTGAATGGGGGTGGGCGATGGTCACTAATAGCTTATGGATTAGATGGGTTTTTACGTCTGTTAGAGGTGCAATAAAAAAAGATACGCTCAGGTATAGAAACGCCGCAGTCTCACAGACGGCACCTTTCCGGTTAAGGGTTAATTAGTTTGTTACTGTTTTGTTTTTGAAAAAAGTAATCACAGAATGAAAGAATCACTCCCTAAGGTTAGTTTCCACCTTCATCCACTTGTGTCCTCAATTATGAAAGTAGAAGTTATCTTAACTCGCAGTTCCGGCAGGTCTTATGGCTAAAAAATCTGAGACAGCAGCCTGGGAGATCTACAGCCTAGCTATCTAGTGCATCCGTATGTAAAATTAACACAGCGCGACAGTGAGAAGAAGTGCCAGGAGATGCTAGGCAATCCAAGGTATTATTTACCTCGCTGGTAGAAAATCCCAGCCAATCTAAGATCCAAAGAGATCTGAGGCGACAAGAGTCTGTCGCAATCCACGGAAACCCTGGGCATCCGAAGTTAACCAGCGCAATTTGCTGTCCCAGTGGGAAGGTATCCTCGGCAATCTGAGAAAATCCCGGAAAATCTAATGCACTCTATGTGTTTGTCTTGTCTTAATTTTCGGATTTTGGGATATAATGCTCAATGCGTTTCAATAATGCACTTTACCTACTCATAAAGCCGACGACAAAATGCGAAATATGTTCATATAGATCAAAATATACAAAGATGAATCTCAGTATCTGCGCTTGGATAGAAGGTACGTCTTGTTACTATTATGTCACATGATTTTTCAATAGACCAAAGAGGATCAAGGTAATCTGTGATGATTCAAGGATCAACGAGGAGATTCAAAAAAATTTTAATGGAGGTTTTGGGGTCAGTTGTCAGCTCATCGACTATTCAATAATGCAATTTACTCATGAAGTTGACGTTTCGATATTTATCTGATGTCTTCTTCAGGGTTACAGACAAAATACAAAAATACGAAATAGGTTTCAAATTATTCCAAACAAAAAACACACATAACCTGTAGTGTTGCCTGCTACTTCGACTAAATTGCTCTCAGTTGAGGTAGCTTAGACGAGGGCAATCTAATTAATTCGTGAAGCTTCTCTATCTCTGAGTCTCTAGATGATTGTTCAATTGATTATTTCGTACTTTTATATGTCATTCAAGCTTCCTGATCCGTGCTTTTTTTACGACTGGGGTTGATTCATTTATAGAAATATATAAACGATACAAAAGCTCATTTACAGAGACATAATCGTATGATGGAAGCGAAAAGAGAAGGCCACTATCGAATCTGACTGTCCAAACACCTTGAGGTTTTGCCACTTCGTTATTCTAGAGTGAAGAAGCTAACATTTGGGGCTGGAAATTTACCTGGCCAACAGCGAACAATAAAATTTCCGTTGTAAAAAAATGTATATTTTTTAGACCCACCGCGTATAATGAGAAATATACTTAAGTATACTTTTTAGGGCGTGATCTCGTATCTCTGCGTATGGTCATCTCGTTCACCTGCTCCAGTGAAAGTCTCGAATGGCGGTTGGCGGCATGTTCAGACAACGTGCACCTGATAAAAATAAACGAATGTAATTCTCAGAGAACAATCACTGGTAATTCATCGTTTCTGCCTATCAATGCTAACGGAGAAATTGCAACTGACCGCTGGCAATGAATTCTGTATAAACATAGTTTGCACTGCAGGAATTGAAAGCACGGTTGGTAAAGGTTATTAGGAATCCATCAAATGTTGCTTCTAAGACGACAGTAAAAAGAGAGAATAAAAACAAAGTTTAACAAAACTGCAATTATATAAAATTTCATACTTTCAAAGTGCATAAGGTTGGATCAGGGATGTTATACTGCCTAGAGTATGGTACAATATCCTACTTATGTCAAGAAGATTGACTACTTCTCACGCATCCGACAGGGCTAACGATAAATTCCAAAATCTCTAATTTCCACAATTTCAAAAAATGATATTTCAAACTGGACAATTCGAGACTCACATCGTATCCGTCCACTTCTGAAACTTTCCATAAAAAAATTGAAATCACCGAAAAGTGAGGTTTCAGCGATTTTCATTTTTTCGTCTGTTGACCGTAGTTCCTTCGTCACTAAAATATCCAAAGCTCATAAACATTTTCCCTCACTAGCATAGCAGTAATCTCATCAAAATATGGGTGGCACTTTCCGAGTTATAGGGTGGTCAAGAATTAGCGGAGAGACAGACAGAAGGAAGCAACATGGTTTTTTATAATGTACAGGTACTATACAACAAACACATTCTCTTGATTTAAACATTTATCCTGATTGCAATGTATCCTTGCAAATTGGCGTGGGACGTGAAAGATGCCAAAATCATGTATGAGGGCTGAATAACTTTACGGTTAAATCATAATCAGTTCAAATTAACAAATAATACAATGGAAGTGTACAGAACTTGTGATTTAATTAATCGTATGCAGTATCATTATCACAGAGTCAGGAAGACTAGGGGTAGGAGGTTAAACTACGTAAGGGATACACGTAGTCGTATGAAGGCAATCCTGTCGCCAAGGATGGTGTAGCTCTCGGAAATCTAGTGGACGTAGAACATGTCTGCGGATTTAAAAATGTCAAAAATGACAATTGCTATGAAAATAGAATAGACATAAAATATCTACATAAAATTTATTTAATATCTTATTAAATCTTTTGGAGCATCCACTAAACTCTTAACAATAGTTTTCATTAATGACAGAATTTTTCAGTTGTTTTCTATTTAAATAACCCCATCTGCAGGACAGAGACACTGACTGGTTAGTTCTGGCTATATTGCAATGAAATTATCTATTTTTTCAAAGGCATGGCATGGTAATTCCAACTAAAGTTCATGTTTTTCCAAATTCTTAATTCTATTTGGCACTATTGTGAGGCATTATATTTGTATATATCTGGTACTTCCTCAATACTCCCTTCCAAGCTCATAACATGTAGGTACTTTTACGTTTTGCATATGGAAATAAAACAACACGGTAGGTAGTTTTAAATGACTTTATTGTTTTTCGAAGTATTCTCCACGAAGATTAATGCACATCTGCATGTGCTCGAACCAATTTTCGAAGCACTTATTCAAATCGTTTGCTGGCAGATCCAAAACGGCATTTTTGAATGCGTCAACTGCTTCTTCTGGTGACTGGAACCTTTGACCACGCAGTCTGTATTTAATTTTCGGGAAAGTAAAGAAATCGTTAGGACTTAGGTCGCGACTATATGGAAGATGGTCCAATAATTCCACGTTTTCTTCCGTTAAATACTGCCTTTTTTTTGGGCTGTGTGCGAGCTTGCATTGTCTTGGTGGAGGATGATTCTTCTTTCGGGGTTGACTTTTCGAAGCTCGGTGATGACTTTTGGCAAACAAATGGTGGTATACCAATCCGCAGTAACAGATCTTTGCTCATTAAGAGGAATTGTTGCAATATGACCCGCTTTTGTCACAAATGTCGCGATCATCTTTTTCGAAACACTTCGAGAACGGATGACTTTTGTTGGCCTTTCTTCACCTTGGAACACCCAAACAGCCGACTGCCGTTTATTTTCTGGTTCATAATAGTAAATCCACGATTCATCACCAGTAACAATGCTGTACACATTTTTTGAGTTTCCGGAAGTGAAACGGTCAAGCGTTTTTTTTTACACCAATTAACCCTGGCTGCTTTCTGCTCTTCAGTCAATAGTTGGGGTATCCAACGAGAAACTAATTTTCTTACTCCTAATTCTTCATGTGAAATTTTTTGAATTGAGGTCCTTGAGATCTTTAAGGACGCCTCAATCTCGCGATATGTCACATGTCTACCTTCAATGATGAGTTTGCGCACAGCATCGACGTTTTCCTGGGTGACTGCCGTTTTTGGTGCACCCACCCTAGGATCGTCGCTAAGACTCACCCGTCCACGTTTGAATTCTGCATACCAATTGTCGACTGATGTGGCGCTTCGTTGCCGAAAACAGACAGTAACTCAGCAAGGCATTCTTGTTGGGATAATTGTCTCTGAAAGTTGTAATAAATTATGGTGCGAAAATGTTCTCGGTTGAGTTCCATTTTTCTAATGACTTGGTGACACTTAAAAATTCACTGTAGTGAGAACACTGTACGTATTGTTGTGAAACTTTGATTTTAAGTTTACTAAAGAGTGAGGTTAAGATTCAGTACTCACGTTCGATCCGCGCGACCTACTATGTTTCTATATGCAAAAGTTAAAAGACATCCCTCGTAACTAACATAAGAAAGCACACCTATTTGTAAATCATAGAGCTTATGGTAGTGCCTCTACAATTATTTAGCCACCTCAAAATTTGCCCCTCCCACGCTTAAAAGAACTTTGAGGAGTCGCACTTTACCATGACATCTTCCATCAGATCTGCCTTTTTCCTGTTCCAAAAATTTCGGAAGCACTTTATGTTTTTAATGGTCCCCCTGAGATACATTTCTGTGAGCACCTAAGGACATTGATATAATAGTTGTCAAGTTGGTGACCCCATCATCGAAGAGTTCGCCGGCAGTTACTATCACATCTGTAATATTGTGATACAAGGAATGTATTCAATTAGAATTAAAAGGATTTACAGCTACGACGTTTTGTAATAATGCTATTGAACGCTTTATAGTCATTGAGTAATAATCTACATATTTGTTGAAGAGTGATCAGTATTACATAAACTGCGTATGTTGCATCGTGATGTATATGGCCATTCCACACACGCATAGAGAACACGCAACGTACGTAGGTTTCTATCCGCATCTGACGAGAAGACAGCTATACCAATAGTATATTTCTTACATTTTATTCAAGATGACATTAGACCGTCCGTTGGATGATAATTAAAAAGTGCTCGCTTTCTTTCCCATATACGTCTTGTATAGACAGTCCAGAATCTTTCACGATCTCTTACACCTCCAAGCAAATTATTATATCCCAAAACATGCCCTAAATATTTCACCGAATCTTTGCAGTGTTTGATTTTTTTACAACAATACGCGGATGGTGCCTATGCATTTCATTTTCTCATTATTTAAAAGTCTTGGCGTTTCTAGACCCATGATAGTTTGGTACAGACAACGATGTGTAATGTGCGTGGGTCTCTATTCACATCTGACGAGCAGATAGTCACAAATAGTTGCTCTCTTTCATTTTATTTAAGACGACAAGAGAGTGTCAGGTGTTGGATGATAATTGGAAATTACTTGCTTTCTTTTCATAAACGTCTTCTGTGTAGTCTAAAATATTTTAGGACTCCAAATAAATTACTATATCACAATACATGTGATGTATCAAGACATGTCACAGAATCTTAGGAGTGTTTTCTTTTTTCGTTATGTAGCAATGTGCTAATGGCATCTACACTTTTAATATTCTCATTACTTAAAAGCCTTAGAGCTTCAGAACTCCATGGTCGTTGAATGTAGTTTCGTGAACCAGTCCGTGCTAAACCAACAATCAAAAAACTTTGACATAGTTCTCAGCACCACTGAAGGATCTTAAGAAATTACGCAGGAGACACGTTAAAGTAAAACAATGACAGACTGAAGTTCTACATTTATCATCTCTTCGACCCTCAGACGATATTACCGGAAATTCTTTTGGCTTCGATGATACGTTTTTCACTTTTCATCTGACAAAATATTTTGTGGCACAGAAGAGGTGAATTCCTAAGATGTAATAAAAATTACTAGTTGCAAAGACGACAACACAGCTTACAGGCTTACAACACAGAATCGGCTAAAGTGTTTGCTGCACCTACCTAGGGTGAATTTCACATGCTCATTATTCACTGTGGTCCATAGCATCAGTATATACTGATGATTTGGTCTGTGCTAGTGGATTTGTACATAACCTTATGAACCAAGCATTACTGAAGATCAGGCCAGACGGTCAATGAATATCACATTATTTGATAAGTACTGACGAATTCCAGTAAATTTTGATCAGGTGATATCCGATCGATAATATTTCCTGTCTGTATGATCTTAGATGAATTCAAAAAACATCTCATGAGTACAGGAGTCGTACTTGACATTGACATAACAGAGATGTTCCACTTGTGAACCTACATATTTGCTGATTGTTAATTATAACACAGTCATAGTAGTTATAGACAAAATAATAAAATCCTTTCAGACCTGTTGAATAATTAGTAGCTTGTTTCATTTACTCAAGTTGGTTCCTGAGAATTCTATTCTATTGGATCATTATAAAGCAATGTCATCAAGTTCATAAAGGACTATGTTTGGCACAAGTTAGCTTATAGAAAAAGGTTAGTTATGATCATGTATAACAAAAAAATTGAACGGATCAGGTTAGTCAAACAGGCCCCATATATTTGACAACGTTGTGCTTTAGGTGAAACCTCGCCACTCTCCAGCCACCCTAGGGTGGCATATCTGTTAGACACCGTCGCAGATATACATAGAGACGCGCGTGTAGCAGGTAGCCAGTGGAGTGCCGTTAGCTCATTTCACTCCCACTACGAGGGTAGTCCCAGAAGTACCCGGCCTGGCCTAGAGATGGCGATAGTTGTTTGAACAGTATCATTGTATTAGAAAGTATGCAACCTATAAAGCATATGTGTCAAGTTTGGAGATGCCACGTTGTTTGGTATTTGTTTGGCAGCCATCAATACTGAACGTTTTCAGTGAATTCGTGAAAATGGAGAAAATTGGTCATCATTATGTTGTACAATACTTTTATTTCAAAGGCCTCAGCCCAACTAATATATAAGCTGAACTGGATTCTACTCTGGGTGAGTCTGCTCCTTCGTTCACAACAGAAAAATATTGGGTAGCAGAGTTTAAACGAAGCCGTATGAGCTGCCAAGACGAGCATCGCAGTGGTCGACCAAATGAGGTGACGACTCCAGAAATGGTGAAGAAAATTCACAAAGCGGTACTGAGTGATCGTCGACTGCACGTGCGTGAGCTAGCAGACATAGTAGGCATTTCAAAAAGTGCGGTTCATCGCATATTATCTGAAAATGTGGACATGAGAAAGCTGTGTCCAAGATGGGTGCCGCGATTGCTCGCAATCGAGCAAAAACAGTGTCGTGAAGATGTTTCAATTGAGCGTTTAGCGAAGTTTCACAGCAACAAAGCAGATTTTTTGCGACGTTTCATAACCATGGATGAAACATGGGTCCATCACTTCACACCCAAGAGAAAAGAATAATCAAAAGAATGAACTCAAAAGGGACAACCGGCTCCAAAGAAGGCGAAGACCGTGTCATCCGCAGGGAATGTTATGGCGACGGTTTTTTGGGATGCGCGTGGGATAATTTTCATTGACTATCTTGAAAAAGGTAAAACTATCAACGGCGAGTATTGTGCGAACTTATTGCAACGTTTGAGCGTTGGAATCAAGCAAAAACGGTCGCATTTGGTTAAGAACAATGCACCAGCTCACATATCCGTTATTGCAATGGCTGAAATTAACGAATTAAAGTTTGAATTGCTACCTCATGCACCTTATTCACCAGATTTAGCCCCCTCGAATTATTTTCTGTTTCCAAACTTGATAAAATGGCCCAGTAGTCAAAGATATTCCGACGATAAAGAAGTGATGTGGGCAGTCAATGGCTATTTTGAAGAGTAAGGCAGTTCTTATTATAAAGGGTATCGAACTTATTGAACATCACTGGGAAAAGTGTATAGTGCTCAAAGAACATCATTTTGAAAAATAAATACTTGTCTTTACAAAAATTCTTGTGTTCTCTTCGTTGGGTCGGGTACTTCTGGGACCACCCTCGTACAAGTGAGCATGCAATGAATGCCAGCTAGTTTAAAGGTGATATTTTATAGAAAAATCTTCATAATGGCAAAACATCAACATAATGTCATTAAAACTCCACATAATACCACTTTTCAAGTTTCGTAATATGGGTACTCTCCAAGTTCGAACAACATGATATCGTATTTTACGTATTGTTCAATAAAACTGCAATTGTTCCTTGTCAGTGGCATGAGAAGTAGAATGAAAAAGTAAATTTTATGAACATACACCGCCTCTGTTTGAAAGCTTCCCAAATTATTTAGTTACGAAACTCTTCGTTACGTGTTAAGCAGTTCTATTTGTTCAACAGTTTACTGCCAAAACAAAAATATAAAATTTATTTTCTATTATAGAAAAATTACTATATCGGTAA